TTCCTATGTCCAACCTGGTTGTTCTCTGCTGTCGCATTTTGGGTTGGCCTTGTGTTTGACTTCGCAAAGTCTCAGTGGTCAATGTAAGCAGTGATTTTGATCTTCTGTTCCGTTGTCTGAATCTTTGGATGATTCTTTCTGCAGATGCTAATTAACTGTCCTATGTTCATGATTGCAGAAAACAATCGACGATGTGGCTATAAGAGTTCTGCTGGATCAGAAGGCAAGACGACGAGAAACGCGGGTGCTGCGAGCCATGCTAAGGCGGTGGCCCATGGGTTGCTGGAGTTCCAGGAAGACTATTATGTTCCAAGTGTTCACAATCCTAGGCACCACTGACAAAAAATAGAACAACCGGAGTAGAGCTACTTAGATGTATTCTTTATAACACTAAGCTCCCTAGTTTTAAAGAGCCCGCATTCAATTGAGGTCACCAATTAGAATTGGGTCACCCGGTTTTGACCGAGCCAATTATTTCTCAAAGCTCCACCATTCAATTATTTTATACTATACACTACTAGTAAAAGGCACGTACCAAGTACGTGTATAATCTAATAAAAGAAATAGTAAGCATTGGATTATTATTTGTCTTACGCCCTAATAATTTATAGAAAATAAACTTGAATTAACGTCATTATTATGGCGATGGGGATATGCAAATTGGCAATGCATCCAACTTTTCACAAAATTATCAAGAAAGACCTATTTGCCAGTTCGTAAATAGTTCACACCCTAAGAACATGTGTTTGTGTTGATCATCATTTAACATGAAAAAGACTCCTTGGTCTATTTTGTTTGCCCCATATGATTCCTTGTTCTTATGACTAAACTTTACACAATTGGTAATTGCAATAAGAAGATCAAGGAATCGCTGCCCATTTTTTTTTGGAAAAGGGGGACTTCCCCGGCCTCTGCATCGAAAAGATGCATACGGCCACCTTTATTAAACAAGCAAAGAGGTTCGACACCAGTCTAAAATTCTCAAACAAAGCTGCTCACAGAGCGCTAAAGAAGGAAACCAAAAGCCACCGCCGGCCGGCAAGAGAAAGATAGGAAAACTAATTGCCTATCCTATTACATGACCGCTATCCAAACCGGCTGAAGATATCCCGTGCAACCATGTCCCATCGGATAGATCCAGTAACCAAACGCTCCCTGGCCTCCGTCGGAGTGAGTAATAACCACATACGGATCAAAGCAATGGCTCCGCCTTGTGAACCCACTTTTGGAAATATACATGATCGCTGCACACTTTTGGAGGCCAAATAGAAGAGTGCCATTCTGGATAAATAACAATGGGCAGCCATTATCTTTTACTACTCTTCTCCTGCAAAAAGAAATACTACTCTCCAGAACAGATATGTAATATCTTATACATCTCAGTATCTCACATTCTTCATGCTCGGACGTCCAATAATACAAAATTCTAGAAACTATTAAACCACATGAGATAAGGCTTCAGTATGTTTTACTGCCTTTCTCGCAGTAGGTTTCCATGCTTGTAACCAATGGTGAACGATTGGAGGCAAAAACTGTCATCTTCCATGTCTGAACCTAGTAGTACAGCCATTAGAAATAAATGCCATCATACAGAGTTACTTCCATGTAATCAGGGGTGGCATGAATTTTTTTCTTTCTGCTTGATCTAAATCAAAGTCTTCATTCATTTTACAATTGGAAACATATTGCCCTCATTGGTCAGATGAGTATATATTAAAATTACCAATAGAAACACTGTATTTTTAACATAGAGATAAAGAGAAAATATTAGATAAGGATAGATTATTACTCATCAAGTTTTTCAATATTTAGTAAAGATAAATTGAACGATTGAATCATGTATGCTATATTTTGAAACACACAATATTTTAAGTAGGTGATTGTGAGATAAAATCCCACTGCTTTTCTTTCTTGGCATAGGACTGTTACCATCATACAAAGTGCAACCAAGATATAGAGTTGGATTCTTCTTTTATTAATGGCACATCATAAATAACTTGTCATTGAGGATAATTCTACTGGCATGCATGTTTTGTCATTGGCGTCTGTACTCGTGCCTTGCATCATTGTTGGTACTTGCACTATCATCTGGTGGTCCAGATTAATCACAGAAAAATCAATAATTTTTCTGGTCTGCCTCAAAGAACCGCAACATATGTTGGTTTGACAAAAACACAAACAGCTGCCGTGCAGGAATACCAAACATTACCAATGACCATAACCAGCGCTAAATTTTCAAAACTGAGGGTTAATGTGATGATACGTGATAGATATTAGTAAAGAATCACCCGTGGAGTATCCGGATGCAGAAAAAGAAAAGCAAAACCAGTACAGGGAACGACTCACTTGGACAAGCTAAGCTACTCTATGACAGAGGAAGCTCCGAAGTCATCGCGACGCCGCGTATGCCGGACATACAAAAGGAGGGACTTGGCATAGGAATGCAGGGTGGAGGTGTGTTGAAGCTTGGGATGCACAAGAGCGCGCGCAGGTTTTGCGGTGGCCGGCGAGACGGCGGCCGACATCTGGGTGCGAGGCGGCCAGTTTAGAAGTGGATTTTGGGAGCAAGAATACAGAAGATTGCTGTGTGGAGAGAGACGGGAGGCGGGGGTGAGTCAGTTGCTGCATGCTGGGAGCGAAGGGGGACGCCGGCCTGATCAGAGAAATGTATGGCGTACGGCGGTACGGGAAGAGTTCAGTCCGGAAGAATCGAGAAGGACCTGACAGAGAAACAAGCAGCCTGAACCGTTAGATGTATCCAAATCTGACGGCCAACTTTCTTTGGATTCGCTCCTGCTTAGTCCGTTGGATCTGCAAAATGGACGGCCCATACTGTTTTGAGATGAAGTTTGGCGGGAACACTGTATACGTGGTGGTAAGCCGCGAGTTCAAAAACTGATGTACTATAATAGTAGAGATATGCTTTCTAATTTTTAAGGTATTCAATTTAGAATTGGATCATCTGACTTTGACCGGGTCAACAACTTCTCAAGCTCTTCCATTCAATTCTATTAATTCACTATGTTCCCAAAATTTGAAGCTCTTTCATTCAATTGTGGTATTCAATTTTGATTTGGTTTACGATTTCGACTGGGCCAGTGATTTCCTAAAATCAATCAGCAGCAACCGACCTATAAAACATAGAAAAAAGTGTCACCATATGATATTATAGCATCAATATAATACATGCAACCACCAACACAGAAATTTCCCCACATAAATATAGGTTGGTTAGCGGATAACACGAAATGAAACCACGAAAGGTCCACCAAATCACCTCATTGTAAATAAAGTAAAACACACTCTATCATCTCCCCAACCCACCAAACTAAATATTCCATTAGTTATAAGATATAAGGGGTATTAGTATTTTAGAAAATTAAATTTCTTTAACTTTGATCAAGTTCAGAGCAAAAATATCGACATCCACAATACTAAACAAAAATGGTATGGAAATTCATTTCACGATGAATCAAAAAATATAGATTTGATATTATGGATTTTGATATGTTTCACTACAAAGTTGATCAAACTTAAAAGGTTTGACTTTTCAAAAAAAAAGTAATAGACCTTATATTTTTTAAAAGAGTGATTTTTTTTTAAGAAACACAACAACACGAAAGGTGCAACAAAGCGCGCATAACCTTCGAGTATATACCATCTCTCATGAGGTTAGATGCGAAGCAGCTAGAATTTCATGTAAGCTGAAGCAGTGAGCACATCATGATAGCTATAGCAACTATTGAGCTCAATTCCATTTCTGCATCTCTGTAAGCCGGAGAAGACACAGTTTTGGTGTACTAGTTTTGGTGTACTACAACACTTTACGTTCGGGCAGGACGGTGCACTTGATTATCCCAAAGCTACGTACAACCACTAATTCGCACATGCTCAATGATAACTACTCCCTCCGTTCCGAATTACTTGTTTTAGATTTATCTAGATACGAAGGTATCTAGCACTAAAATGAGTCTAGATATATCTGTATCTAGATAAATCCAAGACAAATAATTCCGAACGGAGGGAGTAGATGATTGATTGAGCTTAGCTACCTTTTGCAAGGCAAGGATAAGTGTTGGCACTAAAGGAAGAGAGGGTCGACAAAAAAAGGCAAAAAAGAAGAAGAGAAAATAGCATTGTAGTATTATTTTTCGTAATCAATAGAAAGCAGGCTAACGTGGTACTCCAGTATTCAGCCAGAAATAAAATACTACGGCCATGTTGTATATTGTGTGTGTTGTACTCTCTGGTACTCACTCCGAACTAAAATCACGACACTTGTTTCCCATCGGAGGGAGTATATTTAGTTCAAACAGGACCTATATGATCATCAGGAAAACAAAATATAGAACATGTACAGAGCTAGAGCCGGCTACCATTCCAAGCACGTAAAAGCTACATCCAAAGCGTGTCCGCAGATTAATCCAACATAACCGCCAGGATTTTCTCTTCTCCCCGTAGACGCTTTCATAAGACGCAGCCTCTGTCAATGCACCTACGTCGTTAGCTAGACTAGACAGACCGGCACCCAACCTTCCAGGACCGGGCAATGCGTGCGGCACCAGGAACCAAACACAATAACCTGAAGCTTCTTGTGCTTAACAGTTAATTTAAAGTGTTGTATTTGGTTAAGTACTAAGGAACAAACTAGTGGCTTAAACAAATTGTTCATGGCCCAACTTTTGTGGAAACATCCTCCCGTTTAGGGTGGCATGCAAGGACGTACCCTATTAATTAAAATAAATTAATGGCAGTGATCCAGAAACATTTTGCACTCAGAAGTAGTTGTTTAATCTGTATATGTTGTTGATAAACCACTCCTGACAGACATCAGTGCAGCAAACACCGGGACGGGTTGCAAAGCTGAATGCATATATACCATCTCTCATGAGGTTAGATGCATGCTTCAGTTCAAACGACTTCATTAGCCTAGCTAACCTCTCCTCTCTACATCCTCTTCTGAGCTGAAGACTCACTGAAGTATACTCTCCATCTAGTCAATGACATTGATCTCTCACAAGATGAGGAGTTGCAGTTCCAGATACTTGACACTGGCTGCAGCCGTGATCTTGCTTCTGGTACTGACAGCGGCCACAGAGGCTGAAGCCATCCGGCTAGATGCAGAGGTGCGGACATCACTCAGCAGCAGCGGTGGCAACTCAGTGTCGTCAATGCAGAAACCGATTGGGACCAATGTCATCGAGGGATCTGCTGGCTCGACAAGTGAGACAAAGAGGAGCGTCCACGTTGCTGCAGATGAAGTTAGTGCGGCGGCGCATAAGTTGCCGGAGTTTCATGAGGACTACTATGGTCCAAAAGATCACAGCCCTAGGCACCATTGACGGAGCAAATTCTTCTTTATTTCCTCTTGATCGATGATCTCTGTCTAGAACTGACTAGCTAGCTAGGTAGACACGGCAGCTGCGCTGCCAAAATTACTTTTTTGTAAAACTCATGTAAGCTCACACTGTCACACAGTGGGAACATGACATAGCGTTGATGTGCTAACATTCTTGGCAATACAATTTCAAGCAACATATGTGAGTCGTTGCCTGCCTCTTGATCGACCAGTCTCGTGTGGGCTTGCAGCATTACTGATCTACAAAGTTCTCACGATTTTCAGTAACCTTTGACGACGACCTGCATATAGAACCACCAATTTGTAACAAGAACAACGATGTAGTAGTTGCAGTTGTAACCTGGCCAGCTGGAGTTTTTAGAGAGAGTTGTTGTAAGTGCATGTCCCAGTCAGCACTATGTACACTGCCGGTGGTTGTATATCTGCCAACAGTGGAAGCGTTGCCGGATATGCTGCAGTGCTGTTGGCCAAGTACTGCTGTACTTTGCTATGTCCGGGCAGGACGGCTCACCAAAGCATTTCCGATTCTGCATAGTATATGCACCCACTGTTTCTCACACATGCTCAATGATAAATAGATGATTGATGGGGCTAGCTAGACACCTTTTGGAAGGCAAGGATAAGTGATGTAACTAAAGAATGCCGTACATGATGTTCTCAAGATGGCACTTTATATAAAAAAGGCAGAGGGGGAGTTAAATACTAAAGAGGAAATGGGGGGAGGAAGGAAGAAATCAGCCCATGCAGAAAAACTTATCATGGCCAACTAGCTCCTTGTACCAATGGTGCAACACGAACAGTGTGTAGCCACCCTTGTTGTGTTGCTTCTATAGGTCTTGTATAGGTTGGATTTATTGTATTATTTGTGTGTTCTTTGGTATTTAGATCGAACAACATCTATATATATGATCATCTGAAAAAAAAAATAGAACATGTACGCACAAAGCTAGTGACATACTCCGTTCCACATGTTTGTTCCGTTCTTGTATTTCATTTAAGAATCACTTAATTAAACGCTACATAGATCCAAATCCTCCACAGACATTTTATTTTCTTAGATCTGCCCTCCGCAGATTGCATCCAACTTAATCGCCAGACTGTTCTCCTCTCCCTGTAGACGGTTTTGGAAGATGCAGCCTCTGCCAGTGCACCGTACCTACGCCGTTAGAGCAATTCCAACGGGCCGACCCAAACGGACGGCGTTTTTGTCCGTTTTTTGTCCGTTTGGGTCGCCCGCCCGCCCGCCGTCCTCCCTCTTTTAGTTTTGGGTTAGCAGTGCGTCCAACGGGCCGACCCATTTTCATGACCGCGCGCGTTTAACATCGTGTCGTCGCCCTGATTTTGACGCTCCAGCACGCGGGAAAGGTTCGCGCGCGCTGGTTTTGGCGCTCCAGCGCGCGCGCCGCGGCCGGCGCTCGCTATAAAAGAAGGCGCACCCTCCACACTCTGTCGGCCGCCCACTCTCGCCGCCTCTGTGCCACCATGTCGATCCGCCGCCTACACGCTTCGGATTTTCGCGGAGTCCGCGAGCGCCGCTCCGGCGCCTTCTCCGCCGAGATCTGGTTTCGCGAGAAACGTCTCATCCTCGGCACTTTCGACACCGCAGAGGAGGCGGCCCGCGCGCACGACGCGGCGGCGTGGCGCCTCTCGTCGGGATATGAATTTTCCCAACGTGTCGAGTCAGCGGGCGCAGGATCTGGCGCCTCTCCCGTGGCTTTTCACCGACGAGGATCGCCGTGTCCATCGGAGGCGGCAGCGTCGCCTCGCCATCGCAGAGAAGGACGTGGAAGCCTTGGTGTTGTGGCGAGGAGGCTACCCGCAGGACATCGTCGACGAGCGCCAGTTCTATAAGCAATTGAGATCGGAGAGGGACGCGAGGAGGGGGGAGCGAGCCGCCTATCGGAAGGACAAGCGTTCGTGGAAGCAGGCAGCTCAATTGAAACTGAAGCTACAAGAAACGTCGGGTTGGGACTTTGAAGATGAGCAGCTTGCTGACGCCTACCTTCAAACGTCAGAGGAGTGTGCGAAAGGCGTGAAGCGTCGTACCCTGATCAGGGTCGCGCCTGCGTGTTATATAGTCAGGGGCTTATCCCTGGATATGCATACAAGTAGTTTGGAGAGATTACATCTTGAGGAGCAAGAAAGAGATAAGAGATAGAGATAAGTACATGCGGTTTAGAGAGAATCTAAACTATCTCCTAACTACCTCCTGCCGAAGCTACGTGACACAAGTCATCGTGACTGACATAATGACGTTTAACACCCTCCCTTAATCACAACTTGGTCAAGTTGAGATTACGTTTGAACTCTTCAAAGCTTCGTGTAGGTAATGCCTTGGTAAACCCATCTGCAAGTTGATCTCTGGAATGAACAAACCGGATTTCCAATTGTTTGTTAGCAACACGTTCTCTGACAAAATGGAAATCAATTTCAATATGTTTTGTTCTGGCATGGAAAACTGGATTTGCAGAGAGATATGTAGCACCAAGGTTATCACACCACAAGCACGGTGCTGGGATTCGTCTTATGCCAAGCTCTCTGAGTAAAGACTGAACCCATATAATTTCTGCTATTGCATTTGCTAAGGCTTTATACTCTGCTTCTATACTTGACCTGGATACTGTAGCTTGTTTCTTGGCACACCAAGATATAAGATTTGGTCCAAAGAAGATGGCAAATCCACCTGTAGACCGTCTATCATCCAGACATCCTGCCCAGTCAGAGTCAGAAAAAGCACTAACCAGTGTTGATGAAGACTTGCTGAAAGTAAGACCAGTGTTTAGAGTATTTTTGATATATCTGACTATGCGTTTTGCTGCAGTTCAATGAACTGTTGTAGGAGCATGAAGAAACTGGCATACTTTATTAACAGCAAATGAAATATCTGGCCTTGTGAGTGTCAAATATTAAAGTGCACCTACCAGACTTCTGTAGTTTGTGCTGTCCTCTTGATTCAAGGGATCTTCTTCTATAAGTGACAACTTTTCTAAACTAGATAAAGGAGTGGGTGATGGTTTACACCCTTGCAACCCTACTCGTTTGACTAGGTCAGTAGCATACTTTTCTTGAGAGAGATGAAGGTCATGACCATATTTCTTGACTTCAATCCCTAAGAAAAAATGCAAGTCTCCAAGATCCTTCAAAGCAAACTCAGCACTCAAATCCTTTAACAGCCCTGCCACTGCCTCATCAGATGAGCTTGTAACAATTATATCATCCATATAAATAAGTACAAATATAGATGTATTTGACCTATTGTATATAAACAGGGAAGTATCAGACTTAGAAGGAATGAAACCAAGAGTTTGCAGTTTATGACTGAGCCTGGAATACCATGCTCTAGGAGCTTGCTTCAATCCATAAATGGCCTTATCAAGCCTGCAGACATGATTGGGAAATTTTCTGTTTTCGAACCCAGGAGGTTGTTTCATGTAGACCTCTTCTTCTAGAACACCATGGAGGAACGCGTTCTGTACGTCTAGTTGCCTGAGACTCCATCCTCTTGAAACAGCAATAGACAAAACAAGACGAATGGTAGCAATTTTCACAACTGGACTAAAGGTATCTTCATAATATATGCCATACCTTTGTTTAAATCCTTTTGTAACCAGTCTAGCTTTATAGCGATCTATTGTTCCATCAGATTTTCTCTTGATTCTGAATACCCATTTGCAATCTATCAAATTTTTACCTTGTTTTGGGGGAACGAGATGCCATGTTTTGTTTTTCTGAAGAGCCATGTATTCTTCTTCCATAGCCCTTTTCCACTTCAAATCACCAAATGCTTCTTGCAAAGAAGTCGGTTCACCTGTGATACATGCCATGCCAAACTTGGTAATATGCTTGTAATTGACAGGTTTAATTACCCCTTTTTGAAGACATGTACGTGTTTGTGCAGCAGGTACAGCCGCTGGATCCACAGAAGATCCATCAGCCGCTTCGGATCCTGCACCAGATCTGTCCACAGGAGATAATCACTAGTAGAAAAAGGGTCAAACGTGAAGCACAATAGTGCCGGTTTAAATTTCAGCCGGCACTAATGTGTACAATAGCACCGGTTCGTGGCGGCGATCAATAGCACCGGTTCGTGGCGAACCTTTAGTACCGGTTCATGCCACGAACCGGTACTAAGAGGCTGTGTCAGCCTGCGGTCAGGCTATGGCCCCACCATCACCATTTAGTGCTGGTTCGTACCACGAACCGGTACTAATGAGGTTATGGCAAGCTGTTTTTAGTCCCACCTCGCCAGGAGAGAGGGACTAGGAGCGGTTTATAAGCCCTAGGTGCAGAGACGATGAAGAAGAGGCTCAATACTTACGTTGCTTAGCTTCAAGCTTTCAGGAATATGGTAGATTGCACGGAGCTACACGCAGTGCAGTTTACGCTATTCTGAAAGACTTGAAGCAAATTAACGAGCATTGCACCTCTTTTTTATTTTTAATAACTTGTTACAACTCCGGACTTCTTCTGTTATGGCAAAAACTAATTGCATGTCGGCATTTCTTTTTTTTAAACTTTGGTTATAACTCTAGACTTTGACCATCAAGTTTTGCAGAAAAGAAAAAATAGCAAAAAAGAAAAAATAGCAGAAAAGAAAAAATAGCAGAAAAGAAAAAAACTATAGCTGAAAAGAAAAAAACTATATAAAAAACTACTCAGAATAAATAGAAGAAAATAAATATAGCAGAAAAGAAAAAACTACTCGGAAATAAATAGAAGAAAAAATAAAGCAGAAAAGAAAAAAAATTATATTTGCTATTTTTCAATCGTTCACAAAATGACCGTGAAATTGAAAATCACTACAAAATGAACTTTGAAAATGTTGAATTTTGGCAAACTAGATGAATAAAACTACTCACAAATAAATTGAAGAAAATAAATATAACAGAAAAGTAAAAACTATACAAAAAACTACGCAGAAATAAATAGAAGAAAATAAAGCAGAAAAAAAATTATAAAAAAATTTGGGGCGCTGGCCTGTGG